AGATGTCTACAATTGTCAGAAATTGAAGCTGTTCAAGACACAAGATACAAGTAACCAAGGAAGACTTTCTGATGACAATCTCTATGTCTCAATGCAACAGCCTCTTTTCACACTCGAAGAGGTAATGCTCGTATTTTTAAAAAAATAACTAATTAATCTTTTTATGTGTTTGTTTGTTTGTGAAGGGTGTGCCCAAGCATAATTGGGCTCTAGGAGAGGTCGTTAAATAGACTTAGGTCTATATTACTCATTAATATCTCTATTTTTTTTTTCAGTTTTTGCAGTTGCAAAATCATTTATAAAATTTTTATCATGGGTGAGTAGTTTTTTTTTTTTTGCCAATTTAAGTAATTCTAACATATTACTTTCAATTGACAGCATTGCAAATCCATGCAATATATCTTGTAAAATGGCATTTTAATTTGCAAAAACTTCTGTCAGCAGCAACAACTATTACATTATTAATTGCAAATATAATATCTTAAAACAAATGCATGCAATTAGAATATAATATATTTTTTATATGGTATAACAGTTCTATAGGGGTTTTAGTTTTTTTTTTGGGTCAAAACTTTCATCAATACCCTCAATTCAGAAAATAAAACAACGCCGTCAACATCATAATATTCACCGAAGCTTAAATATTTTTTTATAAATATTAATGCAATTTTTCTAATATCTTTATTGTTAATTTTTATGATAATTTTTTATTTCTTTTACTTTTTGCTAGTTACCACTTACATTACCCTAATCTAATACATTTTTTTTTATTAGGAATTAGTTTTGGTGCTCCTCAAGTGCTCACCATATCTGGACCATCTAGATCTGATTTAGATGTCCAGATTTAATTTTTTTATTTTTAATTTAATATAGAATCGAAAATAAAAATAATATCTTAACTATCATTTTTTTGAAAAATAATTTTTTATTTAAAAATGAAAAAATTAAATTAAATCTAGATATGAATGATCTAGATATGATGAGTCCGAAACTCGTTCCTTTATTTACCGTGGCCTACTACATAAAAACATTAATAATACCTATATTTAATGCGTGTTTTGTATGCAAATCACACACACAGCAGAGCCTTGTAAAGAGTGGGGCTCTAGGCCGTTTCCTGTTAGGCCTCACACTCCCTTAGGCTTTGTTGCCTTTTTGTTTTTAATACCTCGAACGCATTTTATAATATTTATGCAGTTTCTAAAGTTCCCTTCAATTATAAATATGATGCATGTTACGCAATTATATTCTTGAGTATGGTATTATTACTTATCGACTTCTACTACATTGTTCGGAAATAAAGATTTAATGAACTCTCAAGGAGCACCATGGATTCCTGTAAATACTACGGTTAAAACATACCAAATGTTTCCCCTAGTGATCAACTCTTTTCCTTGGATGGCGTAGGTGATTGAGAACCTAGAGAGCTTAGGTCTAAACAATGAGGATGCTAGCATGGTATTTCAATCGCAAGTTCCAAGAAACCAACTTCCCAAACTCAACTTTCTACGGTTGTACGAATTAGATGATGCCCAAGCTACTTCTCCATATTGGTTTCTCCAAAATATATCTTCTCTTGAGGGGCTATTCATTCAAGACTATTCTTTCAAGGTGATATTCCCAGAAGAAAGGCCTCGAGATGAGAATGGAGAAATTGAGATTAAAACACAAATCAAGAAGTTGACACTGTATAAATTGAATGAACTCCAGCATATATGCAGAGAAGGATGCCAATTGGACCCGGTTCTTGTTGTATGTTTTGTTGTTTTTTTAAATTAACGGAAACTAATCATGACATAATGAGCGTCAGAATATCATGTATACGTAATATCCTCCAGTGGCAATATCTTTTTACATAGTATGAAAGCTATTTGAAAATAATGGCAAATTTATTGTTCAATGTGATTTAATTTGATGTTTCTTGGTATGGCTTGTTTTGATTGAAGGAAAAATATTTCTTGCAGACATGGAGAAAATTTAATCGTTCTTTCTGTATGAACTCCATTTGATTTTCTTCTCATGAACAGAAAACGTCGTTGCACAACATTTAGAAAAGCCGATTTTTATATTGTTTAGTTTGCATTGATTCCCTTCTATTTTCCACTTCAAAAGAGTGCGAGCACAAGCAGAGCGTCGAGCTACGAGGAAGATGGATCAGAATCTGCAAGCACAAGCAGAGCGTCGAGCTACGAGGAAGATGGAGCAGAATCAAAGGCTAACGAGATTGATGATTCAGGGAAGCAAGAAATGCACAAACACACTATTCCACACACAGGTACTGATTAACACTGTATGATCTTTATACTGCTCTCTAGTTAATATTGGCTTTAATTTTGTTTTCTTACAGAGTCTGGTGACATTCTATATTACTGCTCTCTAGTTAAACTTACTTTATTATTGCTGCAACCTCATATCTTATTCTGTATTTATTTGTTCATATATTGACACTCAAAAGATATATTCATCACCTAAAAGCAAAACTCAACCCACAGTCACTCAGTCTTCACATACATTATACTCCTATTTAAACTTCCCTTCCCTTCTCTACTCTGAATCCGATACTACACTCATTAGGACAGGGGGCTTTGGGTTCAAAAACCATCTCAACAATTCACACATATAACACCAAATTTTGCTCTTAGGAAGCTCAAACTATGCTTCAAAAGAAGTAGATTTCTATCGGCCCCATCATTCCCAAATAGCAACCATTGAAGAAAATAGAGATGGGGGAAAGGTTTAGGAGACTCACCTTGTCATAAAATCAGTGCTGCATGTGGGTACCGTGCCCTCCTTCTTCCCCGGTGTCCTATGCTGCTTCTCTCTCACTCTGTTCCGTTCCACAATGTGAGTGAAGTGAGGAGCTATTGGATCGACCAAGATCCACGCAAATCTGAAACTCATCTTCATTCTTAGACGGGGCACGTCTTAGGCTTCATACGTTGGGCTTTAATATTAACCCAAAATCACTTTTGGGCTTGGGGTGATGAATTTATTATTATTTTACCCCCTTCTTATTAGTACTTAATTATCAAATGAAAAAATTAATCCTTAATACTTTTGAAGGTTTTTCTTAATGAGCTTATTTTTATGGTTGTTCAGATATTATAACATTGTTTTGTGTTCCCCAATATTATGCAGCCCAATATAATTAAAATTTTAACTCTTTCATGCCTATTAAAATATATTATTTTTTGCCAACGTATTAAAATCTATTAGATGAATGATAACATAAAATAATCCGTTGTAATTGGAAATCTATACATCGGTTATGATTGATGGCAAAGACAGTATTTTTTTTTCTTTTTTACTTTTTCGATGAAGAAAAATATTTAATTTTAACTTGCCAAATCTTGTAAATTTATTTATTAATTTATTTTTGCTGAAACTTGTGATGAAGAGATGAATGAGACCACTCAAATACCATCAGCTGAGCCTAGTGAAAGCACATTAATTCAAACCTCTGTTCAGGAAACAGGTATATTAATCATATTATGTGGTTTCTATTTGCCACAAATCATACTAATGAAGTATGATCTTTGTTTTACAATCTCCAAGTTACGTTTTTTATTTTTTTGGCCTTAATATGTCTTCTTGTTTCAATTGCTATAAGAATTGCTCCTGAGTTTCAACTCTATTATTTTAGTTTGATTTGTAATAACTTGTTAATGGAATGAGTTTGGATGCTCATCACTCTTGGTAAGCACCCAAACTCATCAAATCTAAACCGTTTAGATCTGATGTATTTCTTATTAATTGTTAAGCATCTCTATTTCTCATTAATTAATATTTCAAGCTCTGTAGCATGTAAATGAAAATACATTAAAGAAATTACGTGATCCAAAAATATACTTCTAACATGAATTGGACCAGTCAAACTATAAACTCCTATAGTAGCTAAAAGCAGAGCAACTTTTTCTTTTTTCCATTTTCTTTTAGAATGAAGAATTTCTCTCCCCAAAATATAAATCATCCTTTTTTTCTAAATTTCATTTGACTTGTTTATGTAGTTGTTGATCCACCTTTACAAGCTTTGGAGACCATGATCTCATCAGTAAAAAATGAAGGTACTGATCTTTGTTTTCAATTTCTTGTTTCATGACATTTTGGGTTTACTCTACTCTCTAGCTTAATTATTGAATATAAATTCTTTTGATTATGAGTGAGCTAAAATCTAATAGAAGAAAGAAGACCACACAAATATCTAAGTGGTAATATATTTAATCAAGCCACAACTTCTAAAATTATTGGCAGCCAAAATGTAATGAATTTTTCCTTTTTTTTTTATTAGATGGAACTAATTTACTTTTATTTTTGCAAATTAGTGCCATTTGGTTTACAGAGTTTTATTGTTTTTTCCCAAAAAAAATTGTGTAGCTCTTCAAAATCAAGAGATGTATGATATTAGCTTTGAAAGGCCATTGGTTCAATCAACCAAACTAGCTCTAAGCACTACCACAGTTCATGACGCAGGTACTTGCTACTTGTATTCTTTTGTAGACTATATAATATGCATATCAAATGATGCAAAAATATGGCTCTAATATGTAAATGACTCCACTATATAGTACTTTCTGGTTTATTAATTGCTTCTATAAATTGGAATGCAGTAGATGGATCACAGGGTTTACAAATTCATCCAAGTGAAAATTTGCTCGTCCAGGACACAGCATTTATTCTCAATGATAACGAAGAAAGTAATATTGTTTTTCTAAGAAATTAATTTTATTTATCTTTTCCAAAATTATTGTGTTGTTATATTTTTTCTATGTTTTTCTCTCAAAAATAAACTTGGTTGTTCAGATATTGGGACTGAAGAGATGCATGGAACCATTCAAAAACTATCGTTTCGAAATGCTAGAGACATGTTAATCCCTGTCTCAGTTCAGGACATAGGTATGATTAGTGCATTTTATTCATTTTGGAAGGAAAAAAATCTGTAATTTGTCAATATCTTCTGATTTTTTTTTTCCTTTTTGGTTTGTTTTACTTATTTTGTGTAGCTACTGGGACTCATGTGACGCAAGAGAGTATTGATAAACCCTTCGTTCAAGCTACAAGAACCGCATGGGACATTACCATAATACAGGAGAAAGGTTTAATTTAATGAATCTGGTTTTATTTTCTCACAATTTACCATAACTTTTATAAAACTTATTTGTTATATATGTGTGTGTATATATTAAAAGTTATAGAAGTATTTGGATATAGTGATTCTAACTTTTTATTGTATTTATTGAAATCAAGTAGAAGAATTATACGACTCAGATATTCACCTCGGTAAGAATCTGTTCAACCATACCATAACTTCTATGGCTGCAGACTACCAAAAAGGCAATAATTTTTTCTTTACTTTTTGAAGAGGAAAATTATTTCACTTTTCCTAAAATCTTATGTAATTCTATTTTCTAATTTCTCTGAGAAATTATTTTTCCAGTTGTTGGGACTCAAGAGGGGAAAGAATCCAAGAGTAAGTTCTCAATTCATGATGCTCAAAATGTATTGAGTCCTACCGTGCTATATGATACAGGTATTCTTATCATGTTATTTTGTAGTCTCTAAGTTTTGGCGAAGGATCAATCACTACCTGTAGAAGCTTTTTTCTTAAGGTTTTTTCGTACAAGCTCTAATGCAATACTTCCGGTGTTGTTTTCAAGATTGTGCATTATTTTACTTCACCAAGATTATATTGCACATTATTTTAGCTTCCTTTACTTCTCTTTTTAATTACGCAGCTTTCATTGGTCCGTCTAGCGATGTTTAATAACTCGTTAGTTTTTATGGAGATCTCCCTTTTATTAACTAATTAATTTTTCAAATACTCTATTGTGTGAATTGAAATATATTAGGAAAATTAATTAGATGATCCAGAAGCATTCTACAAATGTTTAAAACTGATTTGCTATGTTTAATAGTTCTCTTGCACAGTAATCACTGGTTTAATTGATTGATTCTTCTAAGTTATTTTTATTTGAACTGAAACATATCACTCCTCTAGTCCTTAATATATGATTTATTTATAAAATAGGTCTTATATTTAGAATCAGAAGAGTAATACTTAATAATTTATTTCAACAAGAATCTGTTCAACCAAGTTACAATGGTCTTACAATACAAAAAATAAGGCGTTTTCTACTTTTTGTGAAATGTAATTCATTTTAGTTTTTATAATATTGTATCATCATTTTCTCTTTTATTTTTTTATTTTTTTTTTGAATTAATTGAGTTTTATGCTCTAAGCGCTACGACATTCATGGTTGTTTAGATATTGTAACATTGTTTTGTGCTCCCCAATATTGTGCAGCCTTATGTAATTAACATTCCAACCCTGTTTCATATGTATTAGAAACCGTAAGACGAATCAGAAGACCTAGAAATTCATTGTATGTGAAATCTTGCCCATCCATATCACATCGGATCAGTTGTGATTGATGACAACGACAATAACTTTTCCTTTTTACAATTCTTAAGGAAGTAAATATTCAATTTTAAATTGCCAAATCTGGTAACATTTATTTTCTTTTCTCTTTTTTTTCTTCCTGAAATTTGTCTTTTTAGCCATTTGGACTGAAGAGATGAATAAGGCTATTCCAACACCATTTGCTGAAGCTGTTGAAAGCACATCAACTCATACCTCACTTCAAAGACAGTTGGCTCCAGATGCTGAGGACATGTTCATCATTACCTCAGTTCAAGACATAGGTATTGATTAATGTGTTTTATACATTTTGGAAGGAAAAATTATGTGTATTTTGCCAAAATCTTCTCATCCTAACTTCTTTCCTTTTTGGTTTACTTTATGTAGCTTTGGGAACTCGTGTGACGCATGAGAGCATTGACAAACCCTTTGTTCAAGCTACACAAAATGCATGGGACATTGCCATAGTACAAGAGAAAGGTTTCATTTAATGAATCTGGTTTTGTTGCTTCCAAATTTGCGATATCTATTCCCTAGACTTCTTTGTTATGTTAATATGGTTATAGAAATTTTTGGATTAATTAATAATTCTAACTTTTTTATTGTATTCATTGAAATCAAATAGAGGAATTACATGACTCAGACATTAATCTTAGTAAGAATTTGTTCAACCAGATCACTACTTCAATTGCTGCAGACAACAGCGAAAGTAATGTATTTTTTCACTTGTTGAAGGGGAAAATTATTCGAATTTTTCCAAAATCTTGAGTCATAGTATTTTCTAATATTTCAATGAAATTATTTTTCCAGCCGTTGGGACTCCAGAGGTGTATGAATCCAAGGGCAGATTCACAGTTCATGATGCTCAAAATGTAGCGAGTCATTCCATGGTCGACGGTGCAGGTATTGATATCATATTATATCGTAGTCTCCACGTTAGAAGTTTTCCCTTAATTTTTTATTTACAGGTTCTAATACTTCAGGTTTTGTTTTCAAGATTCTACTCTGTTTTATCTCCCTTTACTTTGTTGTTGTAGTGATGTTTCTCATTAATTTGTACGGGAATCTCCCTTCTATTAATTAATTAATTTTTATAACTTTCTGTTGTATGAAATGAAATGTATTAGGAAAATCGGATGGCTCAGAGATAGTTCTGGGAAATAACTTATCCCGTGGAACTACAAACTCTGCAATAACGGCTGAAAACAGAGCACGTAAGGCATTCTAGTCCTTTCAGAAGCAAGAAAATAACTTTTTCTTTATTCTTTTTTCAAAAACTAAGTCATCATACTTCCTGATTTTACTTATGCTTATTTAATCAGCTAATGATCGAGCTCCTTCACAAGCTTCAGAAGCTCCATCTTCATCAACTCCCCCAGATGTTTGCAACAGCTTTAAGGAATTGGACATTTCCGTACAGTTGCTCCCATATTTGGAGGCTGGGGTGAAGAAACATCCTCAAGTTCTTAATTGGCTCACCACAAAGCGACGAAGAGTGTTTGCTTCCTCCTTCCTTTCCTTATTTGCTGAGGTGACTCGTATTTTGAGGACCACTCGGAGAATGAACTTAACAGAAGATGATCGAAACTACGTCAGACAGTGTTGCGCAGAGTTACAAGGCGTTGGCTTTGATGATCGCTGGATCAGTTATGTGCACAGACGCATTGAGGAATGTGGAGATGAAGAAGACCTGGAGATGAAGGTTGAGGAGGTTGAAGATCAACTCGAGTCCATCAACAAGGAGTTAGCTTCTATGGAGGAATCCTTAGTGTTGTTGCGTGACAGGTCCAGTAGGCTGCATGGTTATATATGTTTATCTACGCTGATAAATGCATTATTTATCATCTTATTCTTCATCATTATATATGTTTATCAGAAGAAAAATTGATATTTGAAGAAGGTACGGTGTGGCGTTATTGAAAATTGGGGGAAAAACAGAAGAAAGCAGAGAAGTAGATAAGTTACAAGGAGCCGAGGATTAATTGGAATCATCCATCTCCATGCTTGAGTTTTGTACTTCTTTCATTTCGTGGATGCTAAAACAGAACATTTTGATATTTTTCTTACCACAGAACTTTTCAGTCTTTGTGGTGCTGTTTCTTTCTTGTTCATGTGATCTTTTACGGAACCATTAAAGAATCTGCTGTGATCTCCCGATGCGTACTTACCTGCATATCAAGTGTTGATAATTTGATCTTTTCTTTTTCCTTACTTTTATTTTGTGATTGTGGGTCTGTGTGATCACTTCAAGTCTGAGATTCGAATTTATATGTTTCTGTGTGATGTCTTTGGATGAGATGAAGACACAGAATATTGCAGTATCAGTAGGGAAAGATTCGGCTTACCATTCTTAATATGATGGTGGATTGTCACGTTATATATAAAATGGTCCAGTGGCACATTAATTGATTTTCAGTTAAGAAGCAATATCTTCAAGCTTACGTGGTATTGTTCTTGATGATGTACACGTGTGTGCATGTGATTTGGTCAGACCCCATGGATCATATTTACTTAATATTTACATATCCCAACATAGAATTTACTGTAAAGCTGCACTGGAAAATGGATGATACAAGCACTTATTGGTTCAATGGATGACTGAGTAAATTATTCTACTCAAGATCTGTTATTAGTATTGCAATAGGGCATGCTTTCTATAATATAGACAAGAGACGAGTACAAATCTGAAATAATAAATTATACTACCTACAGTCCTTAATATAAAAGTTATTTAACTAATTTGAATAGATTAAGAAAATTAGCTCTTTAAAACAAATGAGTTCATTTTCTTAAAGCATCTTTTTTATTCATTTCTTGGAAGGAAATCCCTTAATATGTGTAATCAGTATGGCTGTTTGACAAAACAAATCATAAATTTGGAAAATAACATGAATTGAGGTATTATATTTGAGATCAAATTTAACCTTTAACTAACTCTTATATTTAGGACCGAACTTAGTACAAGAATAACTTGGAGGAGCACAGCAAGTAAGGCATAAAGCTTTGAGTCCCCATAATGATTTCCAAGGTGCTTTTCTTTATTCCTTGTAAGTTTGCTTAATTGTTTGGCATCATTGTTTGCTTCCCCGTCTTCTTTGAGATATCTGATCTTCGTTGCTCCTAATTCCTCAGACTTCAACACTCTCTATTCATTTCTTGTTCCAATTTTTTCTCTAAACTTTCCTGCAAGCTGATGACCAAATCTTCCCAAACCTCAAACCTTTCATTGCATAATGCTCTCTGATTTCTTCTGTGTCTACTGTACTATATCTGTCGATTGCTTGTTCTCAATCTTCTGATCAAACTTTTGTCATTCTTTTTAATATAAGCCACGTTTCCAAAAAAAAACAGAGTATGTGTGCCTTCGTTTAAAGATCTTTCTCATCTTTAATCTTCTTCTGCATTGAGTTTGGTCCTTTTCTTTTGTTGTCGTTAATCATAAACATACAAATTCTTTCACAAAACCAAAAAAAAAAAAAATCCCGTTTCTTTCAAAAACAGAAAAAGAAATCTGCCTCAGAAAGTCTTGCATCATTTGCATCTGAGGTTCACCAGAGTGCAGAGACGAGAGAATTGTTCAGTTTGGTGTTGATCATTCAGAATTCTATTCGGGTAAGGTCTAGAATATATTTGTACTTGGATTATGAATGGCATGAATAAGTATATTTCTTGTTTACTTAATTGGTCTCTTTTTGTTCCAAAGGAAATTAAAGGACAACACAACCCCAAAATCACCTCTCCTTCACATTCACTTTCGGTAAGCGTCCTTTCCAGTGCCTTTCAATCTCTGTATATTAAATTTGGAATAAGCATCCTCTCCACAAGTCTTTCGCCGAGGCTTACCTTTACTATTTTTTTCCGTTTTAATTTGGAATGATTTGATTTAGGGGTCAGCAAAACCAAACCAAAATTAAAAAACCGTACCAGACTAAATTAAATGGGTTAAATTACTACAAATTTTAATCCCTCAAGTCTGTCCCTATTTTGATTTTAGACTCTCAAATTTTAAACCATAAGTTTTGATTTCTTAAGTTTCTTTTTATTTAAAACATTAGTCCCTATAATTTAATAAAACCCTAGACCGTTTTATTCCTTTAGGAATCAAAACCTATATTTTAAAACCTAAAGAATCAAAATCAAAATAAAAATAAATTTGAGTGACCAAAAATTATACTAACCCATAAATTAAATTATAGTGATTCAATGAATCTAGTTTAGTTCGGTTTAATAGACACCAAACCTAAATAAAATGGATTGAACAGAATATATATATATATATATATATATATATACACACATACACATGTGTGTATGTAATATTAATATCTTCTATATGATGAAATGGAAGGGTTCGATCGGCGTTTAAAATTTTTAGGTTAATACAATTTTGATTTCTTAAATTTGTTCTTATTTTGGTTTTAGTTCCTCAAATTTCTTTTCATTTAATATATTAATATCTATAATTTAACAAAAACTTAGGCCATTTTGTCTATTGACAAAACAAAACCTGTAAATCTAGGGGTGTTCACAGAACAGGATGGGATAGGGATAGGGACGATCCTGTCCCAGTCCCGTCCCCATAATTGGGACGGGACGGCTTTTCCGTCCTGTATCTCGTCCCGTCCCAATTGGGACAAGACCTGACTGGGACGGGACAAGGACGTCTCATCTTTTTTTTTGGTAATTTTTTTAATTTGAAAACTAACTATACAAGAAATGTAAAAACTTATAATAAAAACTATGTGAGAAAAATAGATAAAAATGACAAAATACTGACAAAGAAAAATGTTTTTTGTAATCATGAGAGACAAAAAATAAACAAACCTAACATATTTACTACAAAGAATATCATGTAACTCATACAAAAACAATTTATAAACAAATAAAAAAATAACAATTGATAAATATCATTACCAAAATACTATTACAGTGGTAAATAAAACAAATATATAACAGCTAAAAATAAAGATAATATATTGAGACGGGACTGGGACGGAACACCCTCGTCCTGTGTCCTGTTCCGTCCTGAAACAATTTTGTCCCATCCCGCTTTCGTTTCGTCCCAAAAGATTTTGGGACGGACTGTCCCGTCCCAAAATAATTGGGACAGGAACGAGACACTGGGACAGGACACAGTTGAACACCCCTACTGTAATATGAAACTTGAGGGATCAAAACCAAAATAAGGACAAATTTGATGAAACAAAGATTATATTAACAAAAAATTTTCATTAATTATTCTTTGAAAAGAATAATTTTCAAATGATGTAAAATTTTGAGCGACTACTCTCATGTATTTAATCTTACTTTTTAGATTTCAAACCTTTTCTTACTCACCCGAAATTTGAGAATTGTAATTTTTTTAACATACTATTTGAAAATAATTCAAAATTTTTTTATATTGATAATTATAGGAATGTTAAAAGTAAGATATAAGTGATAAATCCCTATTTTAATACATTATTTAATGTCTTTTTGGGGATATTTATCAATTAAAGTGGAATAATTTGCATTGATTTTAGATATTTTGAATTAAATATTGGTGGCACAAAATTAGAAATTTAAAAGAAAATCTTATCATATTTTATCTCTTTTTAAATAATTGATTTTAGACTTTATGATAGTATCTCAATTTATCTTTTGCAGGTCTCAGAAAAGGAAATAAACATAGAAGGAAAGTTGAAACAAAAGGAAAAGAATTAAAAAAAAAAAAAAAAGGAAAGAAAGGAAAGAAAGGGACGGAAGAGAGGGAAGGCATGGATTTTGGAAAGATATTAGGTTATATATTAAATCCATCAATTGCAAGACGGAGGATATATACACACAATCACGCCGCCAACGCCTATTTTGCACCACACGCATACACAGCTTCCAAATCCATTTATTCAATTCCATAGACCACGCCGCCACCCCCCAACTCCTTTCCTATATATACCACCGACTCGCACTCACACACCGTGAGTTCCTTCATAGCTGCACGCAATATCACGCCGCCGCACACTGCAATTCTCCACCTCCAGTCTTCACCTATTCTTTTCGGTCAAGAACGTGGCAGCTGCACTCTTTATAATCTTCCATATTCTTCTCCTCCATCTATCCTCCATGACTACTGAATCTTTGGCACGAGTTGTAGCTTGGTTCAAGACTATGAGAGGCTGAGTTTGCTGTGCTCTTTGGGATTGAATTCAATGACTTGAGTTTGGAAGCTACAAAGGGGAGTTTAATTCTAGTCCTTAGTTTAGACTATTTTATTGATGATTTCTGGTTTGAAGTTTGTTATATTTGGTTTAAAACTAAGAATTGCTAGTTGTAATTCTTGGTTTGGATTGGAATTGCTGAGATTTGGATTGGTATTTATAAGTTTGAGTACTTGGTTTATACATATATTTATGTTTATGCCTTTGTTAAGTCATTGTTAGTGTGATTTTTATGCGAGTTGTATAGAAATTATGCTTGAAGTGAATTTAACAAGTAATTAATATTCTAGTTGAGTATTAATTTAAAAGGAATAACTTATATAAACCAGTCTTAACCACTTAAGTTACTCCCATATCATTAAACAAGCTAGGATAGTCATTGATTCATTCCTCAAGAGCATTCTTGTTATTGATTTCTTACAATTCAAATTTGCATTTTTCATTCTTTCTTAAAAATACCAAAAAAGTAGTTTAGATTTATTTCTTACTCTCTTAATTAGTTTTATTAATTGAAAAATCCTTTTTCAACCCCTCATTTCAATTCTTTGTCACTTAGTTAACTAAGGAATTAATAAAAAGCTCTTCAAGAGACTCGACCCGAGTTGTGCTTTACTGTATAATTTGGTTTTATTTTTGATTTAACCTAAGGCGACTAAAAAGGTTCAAATCAATAAGACAACGAAAGACCCCAAAATTTGAAATATTGATTAGATCTGTATATATGAGTTAATATGAAATACCTCAGTAGAAAGTTAAAACTAGATTAAAATATCTAATTTGAAATAAAAATTATATTATTGAAGAAATAAATGATTGATCTTAAGATGCGCTTGATGTTCAAAGATAGACAAGCCATGAGTCAAAAATCTGAGAAAAGAAAGTATACAAGAATAATTTGGAGGACTAAACAGCAAGTAAGGTAGAAATTATTGAGTAGTCCTCAGAATGATTTCCAAGGTGCTTTTCTTCGTGTGTGGGCAAAGCTTTTGTCTTCATTCCTTGTAAGCTCTTCTCTCCTATGGATCTTGTGATTGCACGTTTTGTTTGGCCTTTTCAATTTGCAGCTTCCTTATCTAAGCTTCCTTTCCAATGCCTCTGGATTTATGGTGGTTTTTTTTACACTACCCTTCAGTAGTTAATATAAAAATTTGTTAAAAGGTTAAATTTGATTCTAAATACAATATCTTGGTCTATTTTATTTCTCATTTTTTTAAATATCCCCATTGATTATAAAGGGTTCTCATCAAAAAAAGATAATTCCAATTATCCAATACATATGATTAAAGAAGATAGCTTAGGTAAATAAATATATATTTATGACAAATAACTAATTTAACTAATTTTCTTAATATTTTTAAATCTTTTTGAGGTTTACCTTTTCATTGTTTTGGAATGATATAATTTTTTTAATATTTATCTAATGTCCCTATTGGACCTCCCTTGGTCTTTAATTATAATGTCTACTTTTTTAACAAAAAGATAAACGTCATTGAAACATTAAAAAAGTTTAACAAAATACACAAGCTGAAACATAGTTAACAACTAAAGGATAAAGTGCTTAAATATTTTAAAAGTATCTACAAAAAAGTACTCAATATCTGGAAGTTTTTTTTGGCTCCTATATGTCATGGAAATGTTATTTTATGACATTTTTGTCCTGAACTATTATCTGCTATTAAATTTAATTAGTAAAGATATTAGTTAAACCGTATAATTTAATAGTCAAACTTAATGATGGATAATAGTAAGGTATTTTGGGCACAAAAATAAACTTTTAGGATATACAAGAACTAAAAAAAAAAAACTTCTAGATGCAAATTGCTCTTTCGTGGACACTTCTACAATATTTAACATTTAAGCACATTTTTCAACAAATAAGAATACATGGCAATAAACAAATACCAACATAGAAACAATAAAACTCGTAGAAGCTAAGCTCCCATCAAATCACATTTTGGAATTTACGGTTTGAAGATTTCAACGCCGTGATAGTGATAGAAGGAAATAGAATCCCAGCTGAGGAGAGAATATAACAATGATTAAAAAGAGAATTATAATGAGGTGACAAGTAAGAAAAACAATTGAAAAACAAGTCATAGAAGTTGTCATTCTCACTATAGGACTTGTCATTATAAACTGTTGATAATTATTTCTCTTCTGTGACATTTGATTGCAATTCCTTCGTGACTAAATGATTAATATATTTCTCTGGTAAAGATTAAATGTTTAATATTGGAGTCCCCAAAGACTGGAGATTTTGGTCCATGGGCTCTCGCCATGGGTAGGATAAATTAGACTAAATCCACACCCGAAGATTTTATGATCTGCCCTTTATTAACCTACAAAAATTAAACAAGATCATCATTTAAAAGATGTGGGGTGTTAAAAACATCATAAAATTAGTAAAAAAAATAATAACAATTTCAGGGCAATAATCTTATAAATTATAATTAATTCAAAGCTGTATTATTTCTTAAAATTGGGTAAAAATCTAAATATTGTCTAATAAATTCAAATTAGCCTAAAACTATCCCCACAATATATGAATAAGATGACATAAAATATATAAAAATCATGACTTATCAAACACTGTGTTCTTTTTTCTTCTTTTTTTCGTGGTGAAATGCATTTTCTAAAAAATTGATAGACATATTTTTTTAAAAAATATAATTTCAGAAGTTATGTGGTAAAAAAAAGTTGAAAATGGTTTTCTATATAATAGGAATACCTTGTTTTCACTCAAGGATGATGACCTAAATTAGAAAGTAATTTTATTTCAATGTTTATGAAAATTTGAATATGTTATATCTAACGCTTAAGGGTGCATTTAAGATCTAGACCCTGGGTGTTTTTTTTTTTTTGGCCAGTGATTTTGCGTGTTCTCATTATTTTCAATTTGTATTAACTTATATTCTGCTTCTTCAACTTTTACTGTTTAAAAACTTTTCGCAACACTGTAAGATAATTTAATTTAAAGTTCATTCGAACAGAAAATAATAATATTAATCATATATAATATACATAATATATTAGAAAAAAATGATCATTTTAGAATGCATTTTCTGTTGAAAGACAATACATATAGTACTTATATTTTTAAATTTTTAAAGTTATAATATCTTACCCATTGTGAAATGTTAATGGACATTGATCTTATCTGAGTTTCTGCACAGCTAAATTAGGAAACAAGAATGGAGATTGCTTCGTCCATTGTTGCAAAAGTTGCAGAGCCGATAGTAGACTACACCGTGGCACCCATTGCAAGGCAAGTGGGTTATTTGATTTTCTACGAAGACAATTTCAAGAATCTCAAGGATCAAGCTGCGGAGCTGAAGAGAGCAAAGGACACTATTTGCGATAGAGTGGAAGCAGAAAGAAAAAGTGCACGGCAAATTTGTGATGGTGCACAGAACTGGTTGAACAAAGCGGATAAAATTATAGAAGCGGTAGAGAAACTTGGTAATGATCCTCGTCATAAGAATGCTGGTTGCCGCAGGTGGCCTTTTCCTGATTTGAAGTCACGACATCAACTCAGTAGAAAAGCAAAGAAGATGGTCGGAGACGTTGCTGAAGTAATGCAGGGAAAAGATAACATTGGTCCACTTACATTCTTGCCTGGTCTAGAGGGAGTAGGCTCCACTTCTGTTACAAACAGCGAAAAGCTTGGCTCAAGAAAGAAAGAGAAAGAGGAAATTATATTGGCCCTAAAAGACCCAAACTTAAGTCGGATTGGGGTCTATGGGCTTGGCGGAGTGGGGAAAACCACTCTAGTTGAAGAAATTGCTAGGCAGGTTAAAGATCACAAGTTGTTTGATGAAGTTGTTATGGTTAATATATCCCAAACTGCAGAACTTGAAAGAATTCAACGTGAAATGGCAGATCTTTTGCGTCTTCGGTTTGAGGAGACGAGCATACCTGGAAGAGCATTACGCCTCAGGCAAAGGCTTAAAAATGAGAAAAGTATCCTCGTCATATTGGACGATATTTGGGATGTACTCAAATTAGAAAAGCTTGGAATTCCTTTGAATGATCATAAGGGTTGCAAACTATTGTTGACTTCTAGAAATCAAGAAATATTACAGAAAATGGAAACTCAAAAAGATTTCTTGATAGATGTTTTAAATGAAGATGAAGCTTGGAGATTGTTTGAAGATATGGTGGGCGATGTTGTTAAAGATGTTAGTTTGCATGATGTGGCAATCCAAGTAGCTCAAAAATGTGCAGGATTGGTTGTTCTTATAGTGACAGTGGCAAGAGCATTAAAAGGTAAAGATGATATTGATTCTTGGAAAGATGCCTTAAACCAGCTAAAGACTATTGATAAGGAAGGGGTGAATGAGAAAATCTATTCGGCTTTGGAGTTTAGCTACAATCATCTTGAAGGTGATGATGTGAAGGCACTTTTCTTACTTTGTGGATTATTAGGTCCACAAATTTGTGTCGATGACTTGTTGACATATGGTATGGGTTTGGGCATATTCAAGCAAATTTATACTCTAAATGATATAAGACGTCAACTTCATAGGTTAATTGGTTCCTTAAAAGGCATCCTGTCTATTGCTTGAAAACAACTCAAACAAGAATGTTAAAATGCATGATGTTGTACATGAAGTAGCAGTCTCAATTGCTTCAAGAGATCAACATGTTTGGAAAATTAGAATGGGTGATGAGCTGGGAAAATGGCCGTCAGAGGAATTCTTCCAAGGATGCACTCAAATCATGTCACAAGATTGTTACATTGCAAAGCTTCCTGAAAGTTTAGAGTGTCCAAATATTAAACTTTTCTGCTTGGATAATCAGAATGAACCTTTAAGTGTTCCAGAATCTTTCTTTGAGGGAATGAAAAACCTCAAAGTGTTAGATTTGACCCGCATGCACATACCTTCATTGCCTCAATCTTTTCATTCTCTCATTGACCTTCAAACACTTTGTTTATATTATTGTACTTTGGGAGACATGACCAATGTTGGTGCTTTAACAAATTTGAAAATTCTCAACCTTAAAGGATCATCTATGACAACATTGCCTAAGGAACTAGGGCAATTAACTCAACTTAAAATGTTGAATTTGACTGATTCTGGAATTGAAATCTTCCCCCCCAACATTATATCAAAATTGACCAAATTGGAGGAGTTGTATTTGGGCAGTACCTCCATCAAATGGGACCAAGAAGATTTAATTGAGGAAAACAAAAATGCTTCGCTTTCTGAACTTAGGCATTTGACAAACTTGACTGTTTTAGAAATTCAAATCAAAGGGGCTTGGGTTCTGCGAAGGGACATGATAAAGCCCAATTTTTATATATTTTATCCCACATTAATTTAGGATTTAAATGATAATTTTGAGCTTAATTGGATTTTTATGCATAATTAGATTAATTGGTTGATTTTTGGATTTTGCATAAAAATTGAGATTTTGGATTAAAAATATAGATATTTTGTGATTTCCTATTTTGACTTGGAATTAATTTTTCCTATTTATTTGGAAACAAGTCTCATATTTTTAGAAAGATTATTTTTAGAAAGTTTTGCAATTTCTTGCCTAATTTTTGTGCAGATTTAATATTTAATTTTTGATTATATTTAGATATAATCTACATTAATGGATGCACTTAAATTCTTGTAGGTCAAGAAAGAGCATATAGAAAATCCAATGGTGCAAGATTGTTTCTTGGGATTTAAGCACAATCGAATGGCTAATATCAAGTGGATCAATTAATTACTAATGGGCTTGAGCTTTGGATCCACAAAAATTTCCTTTTCTCCCATTAAAATATTTTCCTTATTTGAGAACAAGGAATTCACGCCTAAGGAGACCTCCTTTCCATTCTCCATTGATTCACGCACGGATACAAGTTTTGGACGCCAATTCTCCTCCCCCTCATTCACGTCATTCACCCACCAATTTCAATCAACCCTCTCCTTTGAATATTACCCCATATATCCACCATATACCACCTCCTTGTCCCACGCACAAGAGCCATCTAGTCAACATCATCATCAACTTCTCCATTCCACGTGCCACATACACCCATCTTCATTCTCCATTCTCCGTTAACTATGGTGGCCATGATTCCCAATATCATGAAGGGAGGAGATAATACCATGGAAGCTTAAGCTTATAGGGAGGCAACTTGGGAGGAGCATGGAGGAGACTAGAGCCTTGGGCTAGCACTTGAAGACCACAAGGGAGTGATGTTTCATTTATCTTTTTAATTCAAGGACTTGAAATTGTTTAGTTTTAAATGAGTTCAAGTCGTAATTTTGTTGAGACAATTTAGTTCTAGATTGTCAATTTTTATTCTTGGATTAAATTGATATTTGGATTTTATTTGTGTTTAGACACTTGTTGGAATTTATGTTTAGAACCTTTGCATTGTTAATTGAATTTATAATTGAGTTTTCATTATGAGTTTAATTATCAATGTGGTTTGAATTGCAAAATTTGGGTTCTTTTGCCTCTTAATTGTTTAATTAAGTTGGTTAATTGTCTAATTGTTTAATTGGATAATTTCAAACATAATTTCCAAAATTAATTGAGTTAATTTTTCATTGGTTTTAATAAGCTTAATCAACCAACCTTATACTGTTATGAGTTCTCTAATAGTTTAAGGGCTTTTGAAATTGAGGGTTCCCTTTGTTTCAAGTAGGTAATTAAGTTTATTAATTCCACTCTCTTATCACTTCCCTTTGGTCTAATTAACTGATTAAGGTTATGAAGGTTAAATCTATGCAAATCCTAAGTTGTCCCCTCTACCGTACCTGAAGAGAAATCTCTGAATTTTTTACTTGCTGATTCCCTTTGCTTTTTGATTAATTTTCTTTATTCATTATTTTTTATTTTCCTTCAAAAAAAAAACCCCCCAAAAATTGCATTGCATTTATTTAGTTTAATTTAATTTTCATATAGATTTTAGGATATTTGCATTTTCCATTTAGAATTAAAATTTTGCATTTTAGTTTAGGTCCAATTTATTGCATTTTTTTTTTATCACCTGAATTTTTACCTAAAGAAACCCACAACTTGCTCCTTGGAAGTAATGACCTAGGTCGATCCTAAACTACAAATTAATTAGGACCTAGTTTAATTGAGTGCTTTAACGACAGAAGCATCATCAGGACATAATGTTTGACAAACTGGAAAGATACAAAATAGTGATAGGAGATTTCTGGGAATGGTCTGATAATTATGGGGCCTCCAAAATATTGAAGCTCAAGCTCGCTACTATCATTCATTTAGAGCATGGGGTTAAAGAACTCATTAAAGGAGTGGAGGATTTGTACTTGGATGAAGTAAATGGAATCTCCAATGTGCTTTACCATTTGAATGGAGAAGGATTTCCTTTGTTAAAGCATATTCACATACAAAATAATGGAGAAATTCAACACATCATCAACTCAATGGAGAGAAAACTAAGTCATGTTTTCTTCCCCAAGTTGGAGACATTAATACTTCAGAATCTAAATAAATTGGAGAAGATATGTCATGGCTCATTTACGAATAATTCGTTCGTAAAACTTAGATCCATCAAAGTCAAATGTTGTGGCCAGTTGGAGTATCTCCTGTCAATGTTGATGGTCAAAGCTCTTTGCCAACTTGATGAGATTGAAGTTTCAGATTGCAATTCTATGAAGAAGATTGTGTTTATGGAAAATTCCTTCTCAAACTCTGTAACTGTTGATGACGATATTGAGTTTTGTTCATTGCGATCCTTGACATTGCGATATCTGTCAGCCATTGAGGATTTCTACTCTGGTATGTTGACTTCTTCAACGAAAACCAAGCAAAGCTTGTTATCCTACCCTAATGTTCCGTCATCTTTTTTTAATGCAAAGGTATTTGTTTCATTCTTTTATAGTATTTTGCCCATGTTTGCATATATAAATTCTAAAATAATAAGATACTATTAGAAATACTAATGAAAGTGTAATCTATAATCTTTTATTGGCAAAAGAGTTGGATTAATACAATTTTTTGTCCCTCAAATTTGCCCTCATTTTTATTTTGGTCCTTTAAATTTCAAATCATAACATTGAGTTTGGTCTCTCAAACTTCTTTCTGTCTAAAACATTAGCCCCTCTAATTTAATAAAAACCTGGGCTATCTTTCCCCTTGAGGGAACAAAACCCATGATTTGAAACTCGAAGAATCAAAATTTTTACAAATTTGAAGGACTAAAGATTGTATTAATCTTTTTAAGTTTGACCATATATGTGCATGATGTTGCTTGATTAGTGGATCAATTAATGCTAACTAAAACATTATCTGCTGTACGATCGAAATTCTCAACATTTTCACGGTTCTCATATTACGTTTGTGTTTTTTAATCCTTATACCAATAAATGAAATGAAATTCAAAGTCACTTTGATCACATACGGTAAGTGTTAGATGAAAATGAATACATGGGGAATTGTAACGTGAAAATATGACAAATTTCGCATTTGATAAATTAGAACTTATTTTAATTTCGATACAATTTCAAATAAATATAATATATAATTTTTTTTAATCAACTAAACATTTTTAAGCATTAACTTATAATATGATCGTGGCATCAGCGGTTGGGCAAAATAAGATTAATAACAACATTATCACTTATTTCTAATTTTAATAATTCTAAATATTTTTATCATGCTTATACAATTCATTTGTTTGTTCATCTGCTACAATGAGAATAAGAATATTTTTTTTGACAGGTTAAGTTTTCTAATTTGGAGACACTAAAGTTGAGTTCCATCTACATAATATATGGCACGATGATCGCCTTTCTGCAGCCAATTCTTTTCACAAGTTGGCTAAACTGAGTGTTGAGAACTGTCGCAGCTTGAAGTGTTTATTCTCGGCTTCTATGGTTAGAAGTTTTCCAAACCTTAAGGAGCTTGAGATAGGAGAGTGTGAGATGATGGAGGAGATAATTGTTACAGAGGGGAGAAATGATGCGGCAATAGAAGAGGTTATAACTTATATGATTTGAGCAACTTATATCATATTCGAATCATTACATTTGCTCTTGTGTAGTTGCTATCGTTTATTATATATTTGGACTTATCGTATTGCCTCACAGGTTGGGCTTACAAAATTGGAGACTGTCGTAATAAGCAACATGGAAAGGTTAAAGAAAGTATGGCACTCCCAATTTGATGGGCTCAAGACTATGGAGGTGAATAATTGTGGGAAACTTGAGAATATTTTCCCATCTGATATGCACATAACATTTGAAAGAATGGAGACATTGAAGGTCAGTGATTGCTGTTCTGTTAAAGAGATATTCCAATTACCTGCCATTGAAGAGGACACAAGGAAGACACGGGTCACACAATTGAAGAAACTCCATCTACTTCACTTGCCCAAGTTGAAACAGATATGGAGTAAGGATCCCCAAGGAACCTTCCGCTTTCGTAATCTCCAAGATGTCCATGTTGAAGATTGTGAAACTTTAGAATATCTCTTCCCATTTTCAATAGCCATGGATCTTCATCAACTCGAACAACTCACAATGAACTTTTGTGGAATTGATGAAATCGTAGCAAAGAAAGAGGGACCCATGGAGGATGAAGCCATATTTCACTTTGATCGATTATACTGCTTGCAGATTTGGAACATGCGTCAACTTGACAGGTTTTATAGTGGAAGCCACAGTTTAATGTGCCCATCATTGAGAATTTTAGATGTCTTTAGATGTGCGCAATTGAAGCTATTGGGGAGGCAGAGTACAATTAACCAAAGAAAGAATGGTGATGACCAGAATTCGCATCTCTACTTTGCGCAACAACCTCTCTTTGTAATTGAAGAGGTATGGGTTATGAAATATTTATTCATCTTAAAAATATCATAAAATAGTTGTTTTCTTTTTAACTAGTCATATATTAATTTTTGTAAATGTATTCCATCGAAACGGATATTGCATTGCTTGAAGGTGAGGAAAACCCTGTGACATTTCATTTTCTATATGAAGCATTTTGTTTTTACACTACTGTAGGAAAATGTTTTAGTGTCGGTTAAAATTCACTTTTCACAGCGGTTTTGAGACGGATTTACTATCAATGTAATAAATTTGAAAATTCCACGTTGTTTACCAAACTGCCATGATAGATGACTTTTCACAACGATTATATTAACATTAATCGCAGTAGAAAGTCCTCAACACGTGATTTTGAGCATCAAAACGGTGTAGATTAATAAGACTTTTCTTGATTGCTATTTCTTATTGCTTTCTTTAGGTAAATAAACATTTCTTATTGTTATTATATGTAAGAATAAATGAAGTACGTTATTTCAGGTGATTCCTAAGTTGGAAGAGTGGACATTAAATAACAAGGACGCCAAATTGATGTTGATAGACCCACAGTGGAAGGACCACTATTTGAGTAAATTGAAGCGTCTTCGAATGTCCAATTTTGATGATAAACTAGCAGCAACTTTTCTTGACTCGATTGTACAAAAGGCACCAAACTTGAAAGATCTAATTATTGACCATAGTTCCTTAAGTGAGATATTTAGAGATGAAAGAGCTGCATATAAGGAAGGAGAGAACAAAATCAACACCCAACTTGAATTCTTATTGCTGTATAATCTACAATTGCAACATATATGCAGGGAAGGATGCAAAATCGACCCAATTCTTGAGGTTCTTGAAATTTTATGCGTTAAAAAATGCGCCAATTTGAAAACTTTGGTTCCTTCCTCCGTCACTTTTTCCCACTTGACATATTTGGAGATTATCGAGTGCAATGGACTGATCAACTTAATTTACTCATCGACTGCCACAAGTTTGGTCAATTTGCAAGGCATAACATTAAAAGAATGCAATTCACTTGAAGAAATAGTAACGCAGGGGATGAAAGAGGCAAGGGATGAAATTATATTCAGAAGTTTGAGAACTTTAGAATTGGAAAGCTTGCAGAGGCTCAATAGTTTTTCATCTAGTCACTACTTCTTCAGGTTCCTGTTGTTGGAGAGAGTTGTTGTGAGGCATTGTCCAAGGATGAAAACCTTCTGCGAAAGAGCAACAAGCACACCAATGCTGAGAAAGGTAATAATAAAAGAGGGGGAAGATGAAGAGTGGTTCTGGGAAGGTGACTTGAATAGAACAATAACAAAGATCTATGAGGATAAGGTATGCTTTTTTTCCCTTTGAAAAATGGTGTCAAACAGAGTATCGGTAGTAACAAGTAAAAGTCTGTTGTTTGACAACTCTTCAATGCCATTCTATTTAAACTAACATTGGAGCATCTTTACGTGCAGATTGCATTCCGTAACTTCGAAATTCCTTTCCGCCCCTGCTTTCTTTCGTATTTACAAAGCAGTGGCCAAATGTTGTTTTTAAAATTGTTGCTTTTTTTAACTCATGCATTTTAAATCACAGAAACTCACTTTCAAATACATAGTTAAAGTTTGCCGAGATAACATAGCAAACCACCTTTTTTTTTTTTTTGAATATATATATTTAAATATAAAACTAGCACTACTTCCGCGTGAGCTTTAATTTATATACAGCAAGTAAACATTAAAACTACAGGAATTTTGCAGTAACAGTAAACTTTGTTTGGCTGTCAAAGGCTGATCAAATTGTAGATACAACAGAACAAGAAATATCCGAGCTTCCAAGTTCATCTGATGATGACGAGCAAAAAGAGAAAGCCTCATCAACAGATCCTCAAGATGCAGGTATATTTTCATGTTCTCTTGTTTCACCAAATTTTGCAGAATGATCAGATGCCACTTCATTGTGGTAATATAATTAAATGGTCTGCTATAAACATTAATTATGATACCATACTGAACGAACAACTATATTTTTTCACATTTTTTCGTAGAATTGTTAGTATAACCTGGACAGCATGTAGACAAGTCAAAATAACCGTAGCAACACTTTTAACAATTATATTAATAATTAGGTTTTAAGTAACTGAACATCAAGTAGTTCATGAGATAAATAAAAATACTGTTCACTATTTCGTATTTGCTTTGCATAAAGTGAGATTTATTGAAGACATGGTTTCAAAACATCATCACTCTGCTTTGGCATGTTCCTTGACCTTTACAGATTGTTTGATACCACTGTCTTATTGCACTACTAATCATTGGCATAGTTATTATTTTGTTTATTTGGCAAAATGATTCTTCCTCACTATCTCGGGAAATGAAACTAACTGTAGAATAATCACTGACTTAAAAATTTTCATTGCTGAGAATTTGCTTAATCAGTCTTCACTATTATTTTTGCCTAGAACAGACGAAGTAATACATTCCTTTTTACATTTTTAGAGGAAAGGAAATTAAGTTTATTTTGCTAAAGTACCATGTCAAATATTTCAAATTCAATTTTATATTTTTATTTATTCATTCAATATTAAGACTCAACATATATTTGTATATTTTGATTTCAGAGATGAATGAGACTATTGAGCAATTCTTAATTCAAACAACTCAAGAAGCACAGAGCCCTACACAGGACGACATAGGTTTGCTAATTAATCTTGTTTTGGTGCACCTTTGACCTAACACCCTTGCTATGCTTACTTAGTTAACAATTATAACCTTCTATTCCGCTAACTAAAATTTGTCAAAAGAATCATTTGGTTCAAAAGCATTTCCTAGTGAGAAATTGTTCAAGCAATTCACAACTTCTGTAATCATGAGCAACAAAAAAACATAATAGTTTGATACTAAAAAAACACTCTTGTCTCAAAGTTTTTTAATATCTGTTTAGCCCCTCGAACTCAAGAAAGACATGACACCATTCAAATTGACCAAAACACAAAAAGCCTTGCCACAACACAAAACACAGGTTCTTATCTTGTGCTTTATTTATTTTTCTTGAAGTATTCATCATTGGATTAATTAACAATTCTATCATGGTTTTGATTAAATTCTACTAGAAAAATCACATGATCCGTCTACTGGGACTGAAGAGATGTGTCACACCATCAAGAAGCCTTCAATTTCAACTCCTGAAAATGTCCCAAGCTCTACCATGATTCCTAATAATGCAGGTATTACCACAGCACAAAACACAGGGGTATTCGCATGCATACATATATATTTATATATATATCCTATTTTATTTATATCATTGTTACTTTTTTTGGTATTATTCTTTAGATTAACCAACCATTCTATCATGGTGTTCATAAAAATATATATATAAAATACTTGTCTACTAGAAAAATCACATGATCCATCTAGTGGGACTGTAGAAATGTGTGACACAATCAAGAAGTCTTCAATTTCAACTTCTCAAATTGTCCCAAGCTCTACCATGATTCCCAGTGCAGGTATTACCACAGCACAAAACACAGGTGTATATGCATGCATACATATGTGTGTGTGTGTATCCTATTTTATTTATATCGTTGTTACTTTTTTTGGTATTATTCTTTAGATTAACCAACCATTCTATCATGGTGTTCATAAAAATCTACCAGATGGATCAGGTGATGCATGCATTGAGGCTCAAAAGATGTGCGATACTACCATGAAGCCTTCAAGTGATCCAACGACTCAGAATGTACCAAACTCTACCATGATTCCTGATGCAGGTACGGCATGGCTTTGTTTTGTAAGATCTAATCAATTTAATATAAATGGATAGAACAAGTGATGCATGCATTTTAGCTGGAGAATATCTTATTTTATTTTTCCCAAGAGTTGACTCATCCTATTTTCTGATTTCTAGCCCCAATAGATCCATCACCTGCAAAAGCTCTGGAACCTATGACTTCATCAATACTGGAATCGAATACTCATAGTGGTCACAAGTGGTTTAGTGACATTCCAAAACAAAACTTACCATATTTGGAGGCTGGGGTGAAACGTCATCCACAAGTGCTTGACTGGTTCGGTACAAAGCGGAGGAGAGTATTCGCTTCCTTATTCATCGAAGTCACTCGCATTCTGAGGACCACTCGGAGATGCGACTTAACAGAGGATGATCAAAGCTACATCAAAGAGTGTTGCACTGCCTTAGAAGCAATTGGTTTTGATGCTTCCTGGCTCAGTTATGTGCATGGCTGCATTGAGAGCCGTGGTGATGGAAATCAACTCATGAGAAAGCTTGAGGAGACCGAAGCCAAAGTTTCTGCTCTTAGAAATGAGTTAGCTTCTGCTGAGGCATGCTTGGTGTCATTGCGAGATGAGGCGAATAGGCTCCATAATTTTATTGAGTCATGAAGTTCACTCATAAACAATATTTGCTTCCTCTTTCTTAGTGTTGTTGCTTGACATTATCACTTTCAACACTAAATATATAATCTTGTATGCTGGTTTGTGGTTTGCGTAATGCACATTAATAGTAATCTGTCATTTGTATCTGATATAGTTGTTCTGTATATTAGGCATTGAAGGAATTAGGATTTCTATATTATTGTTCTGTATGTTATTAGTTTAAGTCTAAATTAAGAGAACATCTTTAGTATTTCTTACTTTTACTGTTCATTAACTAAAAATAATCAGGGCTGTATTCCAATTTAATTAGCTAGACAGAATATGCCTCATTAAACGAACTTGGATTTTGTACAGAATAGATATAGTTACAGACCAATAGCATCATGATAAAAGGATCAACCATTTATTTTGAATTTGATTATCTTTTTGAATGAAGTATAACGATTATGAGTTCATCTCTAACCTTGCTATGCCAGCACTGAGATTCGCTCTTTCAAATCCAGAAACACAAACAGGAATGCTTTGATAAAATCAACTATGGTTTCCAGGTCCTCTTGGAAACTTTTCATAAAACCAACATTGATGGGAAATTAAGAATGGTGTTCAACTGGAAGGAATGGAAATTAAAGATCAGAAACTTAACAGAGATTAAGATGATTTACAAGGATCAAAGAATAAAATTTTAGCCTGGAAAGGGCAAATGTTTGTTGCTGTATCTCTGAAAGGGTGAGAATCAGAACAGGATTAAATTAGGAAGTATACTTAAGTTTTGTACTTTTTTTCCATTTTGCGGATACAGAAACAGAGCAGCTTGAAAACAGAGGTCTTCTGTTCGAATTTTCCATGCTGACGGAGGGGCCACACAGAATGGTTAGCTTGGAAAGATTCTGTCAATACAATTTAAGTATCTCTATAAGTGTTATTTCAGCCTTAAGGTTTGCCTTATTTTACTGGTCTAACATGCTCACTTTATATGGTAATGTTACGTAAGAAATAAGTGAGTGTGTTTCACAAATCTGGTTGGGATCTACCTGTGGTGTGACAAAACTACAGATAAAACAGAGAGAGATGCTAGTCTTTATGTCCAAATCTGGCTTCGTATGCATTCTGGATCTTCGTGTGTATTTTATAATACCCACCGACATTACTTGGCTATATTGCTGTTATTCAAAAGTTTTCTGAATTGAATTCTTTAATCGAAAATAACTTGTGGACAAGCAAAACCACAAAAAGGATAACCAAAAATACGATAAAAAAAAATTAATTTGTTCACTTATGCATTAATGTTTGTACGTCTGAAAATAATTTTAAAATGGGAAAAATTTAATAAATACGAAGAGATAAAATTGCTAGCGTTTGCGTTGTTATGCAAGTACTTTGAAGGTGTTTTATACACTTGTCTAATTCAGAGTTCACCGCAACATTATGTAAGCACCTCATGCTTAATCATTGCAATGCCAATCATTCAGTCAGTCCACTCCACAACCCAACCTGCTTTATCACTGTTATTATTATTATCATTATTTAATTGCCATCATTATGTAAGCCCGTTTCTGCCACTCACGCAATATTTTAATGCCATAATTTTGCTCTTTTCAGATTTTTGGGGTCATTTCAGTAATTTAATTTGTCACCTTTCTTTATGTCCAGATCCATGGGATATTGCCCCTGTCGGTTGTTCGAAAAGTGTCCAGCTCATTAATCACTAACTTGGGTACATGAAATATAATAATGTCTTCATTATTAATTTTAGTGTCAAAAAATTAAAGCTTGGTTACCGTTAATTCAAAATCTTTTTATTAAATGTAAAGAAATTAATTTAGTATATGAAAAATATTTTCTGTATGTAATAATGAATGAGGGGATTAAAGAGGATTTGATATCTTTTAATTAAAGGTGAGGTTCAATCAAAACTTGTGGATTTAAGAAATCAAAGTTAAAAGGACTACTCTTGATCAAGCTTGCTAATGCTTCAATGTAACTTAATAATACTGAAATTACACAATCATATAAAAAATGTTTTAACTTATATTACTCATGTAAAGTTATATATATTTAAAAATATAATTTTGAAATATAATTTAACTTTTCAAAAATAATTGCAACTTCATTTTTTATTATACTCCTCCGGTCCTAAATGTAAGACCCTTATACTAGTGTATATAAGGGTCTTACATTTAGGACGGGAGGAGTAGTAGTATATGATTTCGAGTTCTGACTTTTTTTTGGCGGAAAAAATAAATCTAAAGTTGTTTTGAAGCGTCCTCATTTTATTGGAGTTTCAGTAAAATGGACTTTTAATATGAAAAAAAGGATAGCTTTGCTTATTATTTTTATTTCATTTCTTGTCATCTTTTGGTCAACCAAGTTGTTGTTTTAATTAAAAAATTCAAGCACTAAAAGCATTACTTTAGGATATGCTTTGTTTAACCGGGAAAAAAAAGGTGGACCCCCCCCCCCCCCCCAAAAATTTGTAAAGGATAGAGATCTTTGTAGTGCAAAGCCAAGTGGTGTCTTTCCATTCTATTGTTTTTTTCAATTTTTCAAGGCAAAAAATCAACGTACATATTATAGCTTAATATCTACACATTTTTCTAATTTCTTTTTTCATTTTCTTCCTTCCTTCTTTCCTTCTTTTTTTTTTTAGCTTTTCCTGTGCACAATATTAAAAAGAAATAACCACTATGAGTAGATTTTGTAGCGAAATTTTCTTTCATCATATAATTAAGAGCAGAAAGAAATTAAAAATATATAAAATAAATTATATAAGTACAAAATATTTATTTATTTCACTTAATATGTTTAAAGATTTACAACTATTTAATTATAAAATACGCACTTATCATGTAGAAAAATGTTTTCGATTAGCCACATGTGGCTAGCTCAATGATAAGAGTTTAACATAAGTAAAGTCAAAAGCTCAAACCTTCCTAATTTAATTAAAAAATATATATTTCGGTTATTGGACCCGACAGCATTTTAGTTGCCAACATTACTATTAATCAAAGTGTATGTTTTGAAATTAAAAAAAAGAAAAAGAACTTCAACAAAGCTGAAAAGCTAATGGATATGATTTTTTTAAGGATTAATATTTAAAAATATTGAAATTAAATTATTCCAGAATAATATCAAGGATTAGCTGGTAATTAAAGTATTAAATTTTCAAAGACCCCAAAACCACATTTTCTTTTGTGGTTGATTATTTCTAAGTTCCTTCTCTTAATTTCTTCTCTTAATTATGAAGTTATAGTGTCATTTACTTAGCAGCATGTATAATAATTGTTCATACATCAATTGAATTAATTGGAGCGAGCTACGAATAATAAAAATGCCTCTAACTTTGGAAATAGTCTTGCTCTGTTACTAAATTGTTGAGTATTATAATAATAATAATAATAATAATAATAATTAAGAGTTGATTAAGCAGATGTGCTCACTGTAAAAATGCGGGTCTTTGTCTTATATGGGTAGTTAAGCTTTGCTCTTTCCTTTCTACGTTCTTCTCATCCTAAATTCAAAAATATAATTTAAAAATGGCAAAATAATACTCATCTAATCTTATTTATAAGGTAGATAAAGAAGATATTTTTTAGTCCTATTTATAGGACAATAAGAGAATTTTTTTGTGTGGATATATAATTTTACCTTTTATTTATTATTGTATTGATTTTGTTTATACTAGTATATGGTATAATATATACTCCCTCTGTCCCATATTATAAGCAACAACTACCATCTTTATATTGTCCTAAAATATAAGCAGCCTTTAACTATTGTCTTAAATTTTTATAACAAATTTCCTATTTTATCCCTAATAAATAATTCTCCCATTCTCTCTCTTTCATAATATAAGCAACAACTACCGTTCTCTCCCTTTCATAATTCTCCCATCATAAATGAGGGTATTTTGGAGAGAAAATTTTCAATTTTTACATATTTATTATTTTTAACTAATTTTAACTACCACTTTGATTTATGTAATCTAGCATAAGGTTGTTTATAATATGGGACGGGAGGAGTATTAAATAGAGATAAAGCTGAAAAGTTATTAGATTTTAAATAAGAGTTAATTAAATTTAAGGTTTTTCTTAATTTGTATGAATCATGTTGGAAGTGACTTATAAATAGGATTGTAGAAACACATGTTTGGAGAATTAATTGCTTAGAATAACATTGCCAAAATGACAATGAAAAATCCTATGAGACCATTTATTATGCTTAAGGACTTGAAAGTATTTAAATCCAAACAAAAGATTATGGTTCTTACTTCTTAGTTGAAACTAAAGTTATATTATGCATTGACGAAAATGCCCTATACTAGAGATCTTGTTGGCAGCTTGTTATTCCGTTGCTGGCAGCCAAACAGTCACTGGAGACCCGTCAAACGGAAAGATTACTTTTTTTAAGATTATAAATTTATTTTTTTCTGAAAATTATTTTCTTTTACAGAATGATTTTGTTAAGACCACTCAAGGTGTCTATTTAATTTGCATATGCATAATATTACTGCTGAAAAACACTCATCTCATTCTACAGTTTTCAAAAAGGGTTAAGGCATACTTTATTCTTTTAATTTTATATATGGTTTCAGTTTGGTTGCTTGACTTTAAAAAATATATTTTTAGTCCTTTAATTTTAAAATTATTAATCTCAAACAATAATTTTTTTTGTAATAAGCATGGTTATTTTAAAAATGAAACTTGATATATTAGTATTTAAGAATATTTTATCAACATTCAAGATCCTAATATTATCATTTTTTTAATTAATAGTTTTAGAGTTAAAGAATAAAAAATATACTTTTTATAATTAAGGGGCCAAATCAAATCCTTATGTAAAATGAAAAGACTAAAAATATGCTTATTGGGTTAATGTAAAAAATTTGCCCCCAAAAGTTTTGATTGAGGAGAAGGAGACACTCATAAGTTTTTTTTTTAAATTGCTATTTATAGTGAACACCACTATTTTAATTGTTAACTTAAATTTTTTTTTTTAACAGTAAGGGGTACCCAGTGCTCCTGAGTGAAAGCTTCGAGGATAAATTTACACATTAATTCTTACTTTTTTAAGATTATAAATTTATTCTGAAAAACATTAATCTCACTTTAAAGTAATTCAAAATGGTTTAAGCATACTTTCAGTCATTTAACTTTATATATAGTTTCAATTGGATCACTTAACTTTAAATAGTATATTTTTAATTATTTAATCCTGAAATCATTAGTCTTAAATAATATTTTTTGTAACAATTATGATTTTTGTTTCTGAAAATTAAACTCAATATGTTAGCTTTTAAGAATGTTTTCTCAATATTATTTTTTTATTAACAGTTTTAAGGTTAAAATTATGATTCGGCCTTTTCAAAATTTTCCTTTAAAGTTGTTTTCAAATTGTTGAAATCTCCATAAAATTAAAGGTTACGGTCCTTAGCAATGAATAAAAATGTCCTTTGCCGATTGGTTGCTGAGGACCTGCCTCCTAACTTTACGGTCACCGGAGACCCACTTGTAGAAGGGTCACTTTTTTTCCCTCACGTCGTTAAACTTTTATTTCCAAGAAATATTTAGTCCAAATTACTGGGGGAAAAAAAATAATACATGAGATGCCTATTGAATTGCGTAACTCCGCTGCTAGAGAAAATATTACTCTCATTTGAAAACTTAATCTATTCCCGGCTTCAATTACATGGTCACTCGTTAGTAATTAAAAGTAAGACTATTGAAAAGATATAAATTGTTTGCTAAATTTGGGTGACCGCATGTTCACAAGGTAAGTGCATGAGTTATAATAAACATGATAAGAAAATTGTCATTCTTATTACGAATATTTGGATGGGTTCTGTTAGTTGAAAATGTAAAGCAAGCAATTTATCATGGCCGAGTAATTGGAAGCTATAAATACGAGTATGTTAAATACATAAATGATATTGAAAATATATTTTTATTTATTTATTTAATAATGATATTAAAAAATTGACAAGCAACTTATTAACGAATTCCTTGTTCTTTTATTAATGAGGGTTTAAAAGTTTTAATAAATGCATTAAAGAAATAGTGTTTACTTCTTAGTAGGGTTAAAATATAGGGAATATTTTCAAACATGGATTTTAGTATTCAGACAACATTTATATCAAATCAATTTTCTTATAAATGTTATAGCAACTTTCCAATCATGCATGATCATATGTTTTTTTTTTTTTCTAACATGAAAAGAAAGTAAGTGAGGAAGAAATATATACCAGCGACGGAGATGAATGTTGTTGGTGTTTGTTAGAAGAGGCAGTCATTGCAGTTTGAAATGAAAGGGACATCGCGGACGAGGCGGGGGAGGAAGATTTGCTCATGCATGTATTCCGCCTTCTGCCCTTCTTCCCCAGTCCATAATGAGAGTACCTTCGAAAAGAGAGAGTAAAAACTCAAAAGTGGATAACAAAAAAAGAAAAAAAAAGAGCCTATTTTAAAATGGGAGCGAGAGAATCATGAAATTAAACCTTAGAAAAGGGAGGAAATTTCAGAATTTAAAACTGAAGACATCAAGCCCAACACGAGCTGGCATTGGACTAGAGCTGATAGAGGAGCTGCACTGTTCACAACACAGTGAATAAAAGAGGTAGCGGCCAATAAAATCGGCTTTATGAACAGTAACATGATTTTTATTTGTTAATCATCGAAGCAGCAGAGAGACTGATGGTCCTCGTCACGGGAACGTTGGCTGCTACACGTGGCCTCTTCCTGATTTGAAGTCACGACATCACCTCCGTAGAAAAGCTAAGAAAATGGCTGGCCACGTTTGGCGGTGGGTTGGTTGATGATTGATGTCGTGATCGTGCCATCCTCCCATTGATGGGCGTTGCGACTTGTGAGAACTGGAAGACGATCTGTACTCTTTTTCTTCAACAGCGTGGGCCCTTCATGTACAGTCATTTTAACCACTGCAATGCGGATAGGCAGGTGGCGTGCTCGGTTTGGAGACAGACGGGAGCGTGTAAGATAGTAAAGTTGTGTGGACAGACTGTGAATGGAATGGTAAGGTTGACGACGACTCTGAAGTCTGAAGAGTCTTTGGGTGAGTCCATAAAGAACTTGCCGTGGCTATGGTTTAAAGTTATCGTCTTTCTTTATCTTCTTCTTGTGGCTCTTCGTATTCCTCAGCTTACAACTCTCTCTTCTTCAAGCTGCACACCATTCAATCCTCACTCTCTGTGTTTGTTCACTTCCTTCTTGTCGGTACTCCCATCAAGCTTACTTCGCTGGTTCTTCTTCTTCGTCTTCTTGGTGATCGCATTTTCATTGTCTCCGATTCCTCTCAAACTCTTCATCGTTCCATTTTCTTTGGCAGTTCCCTTCAACTTGCTGACCAGATCAATTCAAATCAAGCTTCTCATTTCCTAAAATATTTCCTGTCTTTATGTTTACTATGCTTGTTTCCTTGTTCTCAATTTTCTGATCGACTTTGTTTTGGTTATTTCCAGACATAAGTTGCCTTTCAAAAAAAAAATGTTATTCTTCTTTTGCATTAAGTCTGTTGCGTTTTGGTAAATTTAAAAACAAAAAACAAAGTTTGTTGCGTTCTTGTCAACCATATATCTTTTTTTTTTTTTTTAAGTTCTTTCCATTTTTTACTGCTTATCTTTTCAAAATAAACTCGTTCAAAAGAAAACAAAATGGTGGTGTGTTCGTTTTAAATCTCTTTAGCTGTCACTCTTCTTTTGCGTTGATCAAGTAGGTTACTTTCTTGTCAATCTTGCCAAGTTAAAAAGGAAAAAAAACAAAAAAAAAATCTTTTTTTACTAGATTTTCAATCCCTAGATGTGAACTAAATTTTAAGAAAAGAAAAAAAAATGGTTTGAGGACTTCTTTTCTCTCTACTATTCTTCTGCATACACTGCTGCTTTTGTTGTGGGCGGAAAAAGTCCAAGAAGAAGAAGTGTATAGTTTACAACAAATTTTGGTGGCATCTTCATCTGTGCTTTACTAGGGACGCAAGAAAGTGGTGCTGATCATAAAGTAATACAGGTAAAATCTTTTTCTTTGATGGTTACATTTAGATATTTTGGACCTGAATTTTTATGAACAATAATATGTTTCTTTTTTACTTCTTTTCTCTTTCTGGTTTATGCAGAACTCCACTTATTTTCTATCTACAAGCTAGTTTTTAAACCTCCTAACCCCACAAAAAAAGGGGTTTGTGTTTAATTTTTCGTGTACATATCTCTCTCGTACATTTTCTTCTGCATCAACTGGTGGCTTTCAATCATAAAAATATTTTAAAATTAGGGGAAAAAGTTTTTTAAGAAAATTCTTTTGCCGTCAATCTTGCCAAAAAAAAAGTCTTTTTTTTTTTCTTGAAAGGTTTTGTACCGCCTGCACAAGTCTTTAGATCTGAACTAATTTTTTTTTCAAAAAAAGATGGTTTAAATATTCCTCCTCTTGCTACTATTCTTCTGCGTATACCGTTACTTTTGTTGAGAACAATCATATATGAAAATCTAAGTGTGCACTTTAGAAGTTTCGGATATATAACCAGGTTTTTTTCTTTTTTTTTTCTTTTTTTAACAAGCGATTTTCGTTATTTTCACTAATTTTATTTTCAATTTGTTCACGATAAGTAGGCACAAGGTTGATTTTTTATGGCAAAAAAAAGTTGATTTTTTTGGGGCAAAAATTCATTAATGCGCTAATTAATCTGTTTTTTTTTTGGGATTATCTCATAATTTTTTATCTGTTACATTGAAGGGAAGTTTTTTATGCTGACAATTTTTACTAACTTATTATGCTTCTTCACTTTAACCGTTTAAAATTTTTCTGCAACGATGAAAGATATTTTAATTTAAAAGTTCATTCAAACACAAAAAATAATCTTAATCTTAATTATGTATAATATAAAAAACATAGTAGTAGAAAAGAAAATTTTAGAATGCATTTTCGGTTTGGTGAGACAATACATGTATATTATTAGTAATTATAATTTTAAAATTTTAAAAAGTTATGATATCTTACACATTGTATGAATGTGGTGCCAACTTTTCTCTTATCAGCTGTTCTTTATATTATCAGTTGATCTTATATTTGAGTTGTTATGCAGCCAAATCGGGAAACAAGAATGGATATTGTCACGACCATTGCTGGAAAATTTTTAGAACCGATAGTAGACTACACCGTGGCACCCATTGGAAGGCAATTGGGTTATTTGATTTTCTACGAAGGCAATTTCAAGAATCTGAAGGATCAAGTTGACGAGCTGAAGAGAGAGAAGGAAACTCTAAGTAATGAAGTGGAGGCAGAAAGAAGAAATGGACGCCAAATTTATGATGCTGCACAAAACTGGCTGAACAGAGTGGATGAAATCATAGAAGTGGCAGAGAAACTTGGTGATGATCCTCGTCATAGGAAAGCTGGTTGCTGCATGGGACCTTTCCCTGATTTGAAGTCACGGCACCAACTCAGTAGAAAAGCAAAGAAAATGGCTATAACTGTTGCTGAAGTAAAGCAAAAGAAAGGTGGCATTTATCCACTTGCATTCTTGCCTGCTCTAGAGGGAGTAGGCTTCACTTCTGCTACAAGCAGTGAAAAACTTGGGTCAAGAAAGAAAATGAAGGAGGAAATTATATTGGCCCTAAGAGACCCAAACTTAAGGCGGATTGGGGTCTATGGGCTTGGCGGAGTGGGGAAAACCACTCTAGTTGAAGAAATTGCTAAACAGGTTGAAGATGACAAGTTGTTTGATCGAGTTGTTGTGGCTAATATATCCCCAGCTCCAGATCTTGAAAGAATTCAACGTGAAATAGCAGATCTTTTGGGTCTTCGCTTTGAGGAGATGAGCATACCTGGAAAAGCATTACGCCTCGAGCAGAGGATTGAAAATGAGAAGAGTATCCTGCTCATATTAGATGATATTTGGGATGTACTTGAATTTAAAAAGCTTGGAATCCCTTCGAATGATCATGAGGGTTGCAAGTTATTATTCACTTCTAGAAATCTAGAGATATTACAAAAATTGGAGACTCAGAAAGATTTCAAGATGGATGTTTTAAATGAAGAAGAAGCTTGGAACTTGTTTGAAGAAATGGTGGGCAATGTTGTTAAAGATGTTCATTTGCGTGACGTGGCAATCGAAATAGCCCGAAAATGTGGGGGCTTGATTGTTCTTCTTGTGACAGTGGCGAGAGCATTAAAAAATAAAGATAGTATTGATTCTTGGAAAGATGCCTTAAACCAGTTAATGGTTGTTGATAAGGAAGGAATGACTGAGAAAATTTATTCAACTTTGGAGTTCAGTTACAATCATCTAGAGGGTGATGATGTGAAGGCACTTTTCTTGCTTTGTGGATTAGTAGGTCCCCAAATTCATGTTGAATTCTTGTTGAAGTGTGCTATAGGTTTAGGCATATTCAAGCAAACTTATTCTCCAAAACATGCAAGACTTAAACTTCATAGCTTAATTACTTCCTTAAAGGCATCTTGTCTGTTGCTCGACAACTCAAATGACAGAGTGAAAATGCATGACATTGTACATGAAGTAGCAGTCTCAATTGCTTCAAGAGATCAACATGTTTTCAAAATTGGAAGGGGTGATGAGTTAAAGAAATGGCCATCGGAGGAATTCCTTCAAAGATGCACTCAAATCATCTTGGGCTGCTGTGACATTTCTATGCTTCCTGAAAGGTTACAATGTCCTCATATTAAACTTTTTTGTTTGTCTAATAAGAATAAATCTTTAACTGTCCCAGAATCTTTCTTTGAGGGAATGAAAAGCCTTAAAGTGCTAGCTTTGACTTTCGTACACTTACCTTCATTGCCCCAATCTTTTCATTGTCTTAGTGACCTTCAAACACTTTGTTTGGATCTATGTGTTTTGGGAGACATAACCAATATTAAAGCTTTAAAGAATTTGCAAACTCTCAGCTTTTATGGATCTTCAATGATAGCGTTGCCTCTTGAGCTAGGGCAATTAACTCATCTTAGAATGTTGGATTTGACCAATTCTGGAATTGAAATCTTCCCTTCTAACATTATATCAAAATTGACCAAATTAGAGGAGTTGTATTTGGGCAATACCTCCGTCAAGTGGGACCAAGAAGATTCAAATGAGGAAATTAAAACTGCTTCCCTTATTGAACTTAGGCATTTGACAAACTTGACTGCTCTAGAAATTCAAATCAAAGGGGCTTGGGTTCTACTAAGGGATCTAATGTTTGACAAACTGGAAAGATACAAAATAGTGATAGGAGATATCTGGGAATGGTCTAATAATTATGGGGCATCCAAAATATTGAAGGTCAAGCTTGATACTGTCATTCATCTGGAGCATGGGATTAAAGAACTAATCAAAGGAGTAGAGGATTTGTCCTTGGATGAAGTGAATGGAATCTCCAATGTGCTTTACAATTTGCATGGAGAAGGATTTCCTTTGTTAAAGCACCTTCACATCCAAAATAATGGGGAAATTCAACACATCATCAACTCAATGGAGAGAAAACTAATTAGTCATGTTTTCTTTCCAAAATTGGAAACCTTAGTACTCCAAAATCTCAATAAATTGGAGAAGATATGTCATGGCTCGTTTACGAATAATTCATTTGCACAACTTAGATCCATCAAAGTAAAATGTTGTGGTCAGTTGAAGTATATTTTCTCAGTGTTGATGGTCAAAGCTCTTTGCCAACTTGTTGAGATTGAAGTTTCAGAATGCAGTTCTATGAAAAAGATTGTATTTGGAGAAAATTCTTTCCCAAACTCTGATGACAATATTGAGTTCTGTTCTTTGAGGTCCTTGATCCTACGATATTTGCCAGGGATTGAGGATTTTTATTCTGGTTTGCTGACGTCTTCAACAACCAAGCGGACTTTGTCACTTCAAACTAACGTTCCATCATCTTTTTTCAGTGCGAAGGTAATTGTTTTATTCTTATATTGTATTTTCTCCACTGAGTACATACATTTTTAAAATAATAAGATAATATTACAAATAATAATGAAAATGTAATTGGGAAAATGATTTTTAAGTTTGACCATATATGTGCACGATGTTGTTCGACTACGGGATCGATCAGTTCTAACTAAAACATTATCCGCTGTATGATCAAAATTTTCAACATTTTCAGTATTTTTGCGAACAACATTTTCACCGTTCTCATTATTATTATTATTTTGGTGTTTTTTCATACTTTTACCATGGTCAAATTACTAATAAATGATATGAAATTGAAAACCGTTGGCAATTAAAAAGAAATGAAATTCAAAACCACTTTGATCATGGTTGTAAGTGTTAAACGAAAACGAATAAATGGTGCATTATAATATGAAACGATTGATAACTTTTGCAGCTGCTAATTTATAATTTAATCATTTAATTTTCATAGAATGACTCATGAGATATGATATATAAATTTTCAAGCAACAAACATTTTTAAGCACTGGCTTATTATGCGAGCATGACATCAGATTTTGGGCCAAATAAGATTAATAACATCATCATTATTTAGTTAATTTGATTAATTCTCGATATTGTCGTCATGATCATACAATTCATTCATTTATTCATTTGCCACAATAAGAATAAAATATTGTTTCTACAGGTGAAGTTTTCTAATTTGGAGACTCTAGAGTTGAGTTCAATCCATGTAGAAAATATTTGGCAGGATGATCGCCTTTCTGTAGCCAATTGTTTTCACATGTTGGCTAAGCTGAGTGTGGAGGAGTGTAGTGCCTTGAAGTATTTATTCTCTTCTTCTATGGTTGGATGTTTTCCAAATCTTAAGGACCTTCAAATAAGAGAGTGTGAGATGATGGAGGAGATAATTGGTACGGAGGGGAGAAATAGTGCTGCAATTGAAGAGGTTATAACTTATACGATTTCAGCATTTTATATCATATTTAATTAAGTGCTAAGTCATTTAAACGTCAAATATTTGCTCTTGTGTAGCTGCCATCGTTTATTATATGGACTTACGAGTTGCGCATGATCACAGGTTGGGTTTCCAAAATTGGAGACTGTCATAATAAGCAACATGAAAAGGTTAAGGAAAGTATGGTACTCCCAATTTGATGGGTTGAAGACTATGGAGGTCAACAATTGTGAGAAACTTGAACATATTTTCCCATCGGATATGCGCACAACATTTGGAAGAATGGAGACAGTGAAGGTCAGTGATTGTGGTTCAGTGAAAGAGATATTCAAATTACCAAACAAAGAAATCATTAGTGAAGAGGCTACACAATTGAAGAACCTGCATCTGCTTCGCTTGCCCAAGTTGAAACAAATATGGAGTAAGGACCCCCAGGGAAATTTCTGCTTTCACAATCTCCAATATGTCGATGTTAAAGAATGTGAAAACTTAGACTATCTCTTCCCACTTTCAGTCGCCCTGGATCTTCATCAACTCGAAAAACTCACAATGAGTTCTTGTGGAATGAATGAAGTTGTAGCAAAGGAAGAGGAAATAGCCACATTTCACTTTGATCGGTTAAACTCCTTGAAGATTTGGCACATGCATCGACTTGATAGGTTTTATAGTGGAAGTCACGATCTAACGTGCCCATCATTGAGAATGTTATGGGTCTTCAACTGTCCAAAATTGAGGTTATTAGGGAGACAGAGTACAAGAAACCATAGCAAGAGTGGTGATGACCGAAATCCGCGTCCCTCTATGCAAGATCCTCTCTTCTTGATTGAAGAGGTATGGTCATCAGATGTTTATTCATCTCAGAAATATATATCTAACTTGTTATAAAGTAGTAGCTTTTCCTTTCAACTAGTTCGTATGTCAACTTTCTAATATATTTCTTATGGAAAATATATATCGTATGGTTTGAAGGTAAGCAAAAACTATATTAATGTGTTTAAGAAGATAATTAAATGAAAAAAGGAAAAATGCATGGACTTTTACGTGAAGCTTTTTGCTTTTCAGTGACATGCCCAAATGTGCCTCTTTGGTCATGGGTAAATATTTCTTATTGTATTCTTTTGGTGAGTAAACGTCTCGTATTGTTATTATATGTAGGAGAAAATAATGAAGCTGTATGTTATGTTTCAGGTGATTCCGAAGTTGGAACAATGGGAAGTAAATAACAAGGAGGCCATAATGATGTTGGAAGACCCACAATGGAAGGACCGTTATTTTAGTAAATTGAAGAATCTTCGAATGTCTTATTTTGACAACAAAACAGCAGCAACTTTTCTGGACTCAGTTGCGCAAAAGGCACCAAACTTGAAAACTCTAGTTGTCCAACATGGTTCCTTGAAAGAGATATTCCAACACAAAAGAGTTGCATATGAGGAAGGCAAGAATGAAATCAAGACCCAGCTTGAAGTTTTAACTCTGTATAATCTACAATTGGAACACATATGTAGAGAAAGATGCAAGATCGACCCAATTCTTGAGGTTCTTGAAGTTTTAAATGTGACAGAATGTGCCAATTTGAAAACTTTGGTTCCTTCCTCCGTCACTTTTTCCCACCTGACATATTTGCAGATTCAAAAGTGTAATGGATTGATAAGCTTAATTTACTCATCAACTGCAGCGAGTTTGGTCAATCTTCAACACATGAAATTAAAAGAATGCAATTCACTTGAAGAAATAATGACGCAGGAGATGAATGAGACAAGAGATGAAATCGTATTTAGAAATTTGAGAACTATAGCATTGGAAAGCTTGCCAAGGCTCAATAGTTTCTCATCTAGCAGTCAATGCTTCTTCAGGTTCCCATTGTTGAAGAAAGTTGTTGTGAGGCAATGTCCAAGGATGAAAACCTTCTGTGAAAGAGCAACAAGCACGCCAATGCTCAGAAAGGTAATAACAAAAGAGGGGAAAGACGAAGAATGGTGGTGGGAAAGTGACTTGAACAGAACAATAAAAATGGTCCATGGGAATAAGGTATGTTTTTTTCCCTTTAAAAATTCGTGTCTAACAGAGTATTGATAATAACAAGTACAGGTCTGTTGTTTAACAGCTCTTCATTGCCATTCTATTGTAACTAACATTGGAAATTTCTTTGCGTGCAGATTGCATTCCGTGATATGGAGCATCTTGATTTATCCTTGTATCCTGAGCTAAAAGACTCTTGGAGCAGTCCCATTGAGAATAAAATATTCTGTAATTTGAAATCTTTGGCAGTCGAACATTGTGACTTTTTATCAGATGTTCTTATTCCTTCAAATATGCTGCGAACCTTGGGGAACTTGGAAGAAATTCACGTAAAAGACTGTGATTCACTAGAAGTTGTGCTTGAATTTGATGCAGCAAAAGAAGAGGCAATGTCAGAAAAAGAGGCGAGTCATCTGCGAAAAATCTGCCTATCTAATCTGCCTAAACTCCAATACATATGGAAACCAAGTCTCGAAGGGAAAAGGGACGAGGATGCAGTTCAAGTCCCATGTCAACAGCCTCTGTCTTTTCTTGCTAAGGTATGCTTTAGTTTCTTTCATAAAGTAAGATAGAGATGCTATTGTCTTACTCTTCTTTTGTTTCTTATGTTATCAAAAGGTGCAAGATATTCTGTTTGTTCTTGAAAACATATCTCAACTATAAATTCTTGAAAGTTTAGCTTTTCTGTTTAGTTTGGATGATTATAACCAAAGCGTGTAATTATAGCTAATGTAAAAACAAGACTGGATTGTTATTCACCAACAGTAAAGCAATCTCTGTATGAGAAAAAATGTGGCCAAGTAGCAAACTATATAATACATCTAAACAAGTTTTTAAACTCAAAAAAAGAGGATAAGGCTAAATTCCACCATCAGCAACAAGCATCTTCGATTGTACAGGTGTGCAACTTGCTTCTAAGTTCTCTCTCTCACACGCTTGTATAGAGCTGTGGAAATGTACTTAAATAATTTTGTACACATAAAAGTAGAAAAAATCCAAGGAACAATTTTATTTATTCAGTCACATTTTTCTCTGCCAATTAAATTATGTTTAAGAAGTCAATAAGCTCTAGAGAATAATCTTGTAGAGTCCTTTGCATTCATAGCCTAGTTTAGAAGCCATGATGCCCATTGCGTAGCCTTGCTCTTCTAACACTTGTGCTTCACAACATGATTTATGAACGCTATGCATATAGCCTTGTGTTTTTTGTTTTATGCAGCATTGGAGTGCTGGGAAATATATATTTATAAAATGATTTTAATACCTATGAGATATTTGGTGGAAAAAAGTAAAATCATTATTCAAATGTTTTATGAGACATATAAATTATATATTTCTTTGAATTAAATACCTTATATATAAATTATAATATTTTGAAATTTTAAACAACCGCTAAACGAAGGTTCATAAATCATGTTGTCATGTTTGCTATCGGTGAGAAGACACGAGGCAAAATGAAGATGAGCTGGTTGTGTATTTTGCTTTTTCTAATGCAAGAGTCTTTTAGTAGCCTAAATATTATTGGTTTTTAGAATATTTAAAAAAAACTTCAAAAAATATTTAAAAAATTAGAGGAGTAAATCCAACAAAATGAAGTGAAATTAAAATTACTAATTGAGACAGAAAAAAATGTAATTGCGTATGTTATTACAGTCAATCAATCAAACAATTTCTATTATAAAAACATGGCAAATATGCATGTTTCCCAGATAACAACTACGATTTTCTTCATTAACACGGAGGCATGAACGCCGGAATTAATCACTGACCAAATCTGTATGCCTTCAATTTTTGAAAACTGGTCGAAGTACGTGGCGTGGGCTTGGTTATGCATTTGTTTTTATCTCAAATTGTGCCAGAAACAGAGTTTACTTGTTATTTTGCCAGAAACAGAGTTTACTCAAATTATGCATTTGTTTTTGTCAAACTTATCCCAAGTATAGTTTATAACTGACAGTACAACTATTGAGTTGATCGCAGGTCCTTCTACCCAAACTGGAAACAATCATAATAGAAGACTTGCAAAACTTGGAAACAATATGGCACCCTGTCCTAATTCCGAATTCCATGGGTAGCTTTGAGACGTTGAAAGTGAAAAAGTGTCAGAAAATTCAGCATATATTTCCAATATACATGAACGGAGTATTTGCAACTCCACAGACATTGAAGGTTAAAGACTGCAACTCAGTGCAGGAAATTTTCCAGTTGGGTGCCAAGGAAATGTGCAGTGGAGGTGACACAACACGGCTCAAGAATATAACCCTGCTTCGATTGCCAAAGCTGAAACAAATTTGGAGCACAGATCGTCAATCTAGTCTTCACTTTAATAGTCTGCAAGTTGTGCGTGTTGAAGATTGTGGAGATTTAGATTACCTTTTTCCATTCTCCATAGCAAAGCACCTACCTCAACTTGAAGCAATTACAATAAAGAGTGCTGAAAAGATGAAGGAAATTGTTTCCAAGAGAGAAGAACCCTTGGATAATCTCATCAAATTTGAGTTTAGTCAGCTAACCTCAATGGTGCTTCGGGATTTACAAGATTTGCAAAGATTTTGTGCTGGAAATCATAGCTTATCTTGTTCATCATTGAAAGAATTAGATGTCTACAATTGTCAGAAATTGAAGCTGTTCAAGCCAAAAGATACAAGTAACCAAGGAAGACTTTCTGATGACAATCTCTATATCTCAATGCAACAGCCTCTCTTCACACTTGAAGAGGTAATGCTCGTATTTTTTAAAAAATAACTAATTAATCTTTTTATGTGTGTGTTTGTTTGTTTGTTTGTGAAGGGTGTGCCCAAGCATAATTGGGCTCTAGGAGAGGTCGTTAAATAGACTTAGGTCTATATTACTCATTAATATCTCTATTTTTTTTTCAGTTTTTGCAGTTGCAAAATCATTTATAAAATTTTTATCATGGGTGAGTAGTTTTTTTTTTTTTGGCCAAGTTAAGTAATTCTAACATATTACTTTCAATGACAGCATTGCAAATCCATGCAATATATCTTGTAAAATGGCATTTTAATTTGCGAAAACTTGTCAGCAGCAACAACTATTACAGTATTAATTGCAAATATAATATCTTAAAACAAATGCATGCAATTAGAATATATATTATATTTTTTATATGGTATAACAGTTCTATAGGGGTTTTAGTTTTTTTTTTGGGTCAAAACTTTCATCAATACCCTCAATTCAGAAAATAAAACAACGCCGTCAACATCATAATATTCACCGAAGCTTAAATATTTTTTTATAAATATTAATGCAATTTTTCTAATATCTTTATTGTTAATTTTTATAATAATTTTTTATTTCTTTTACTTTATGCTAGTTACCACTTACATTACCCTAATCTAATACATTTTTTTTATTAGGAATTAGTTTTGGTGCTCCTCAAGTGCTCATCATATCTGGACCGTCTAGATCTGATTTAGATGTCCAGATTTAATTTTTTTATTTTTAATTTAATATAGAATTGAAAATAAAAATAATATCTTAACTATCATTTTTTTGAAAAATAATTTTTTATTTAAAAATGAAAAAATTAAATTAAATCTAGATATGAATGGTGATGAGTCCGAAACTCGTTCCTTTATTTACTGTGGCCTACTACATAGAAACATTAATAATACCTATATTTAATGCGTGTTTTGTATGCAAATCACACACACAGTAGAGCCTTGTAAAGAGTGGGGTTCTAGGCCGTTTCCTGTTAGGCCTCACACTCCCTTAGGCTTTGTTGCCTTTTTGTTTTTAATACCTCGAACGCGTTTTATAATATTTATGCAGTTTCTAAAGTTCCCTTCAATTATAAATATGATGCATGTTACGCAATTATATTCTTGAGTATGGTATTATTACTTATTGACTTCTACTACATTGTTTGGAAATAAAGATTTAATGAACCCTTAAGGAGCACCATGGATTCCTGTAAATACTACGGTTAAAACAAAACCAAATGTTTCCCTTAGTGATCAACTCTTTTCCTTGGATGGCATAGGTGATTGACAACCTAGAGAGCTTAGGTCTAAACAATGAGGATGCTAGCATGGTATTTCAATCGCAAGCTCCAAGGAACCAACTTCCCAAACTCAACTTTCTATGGTTGTACGGATCAGATGATGCTCAAGCTACTTCTCCATACTGGTTTCTCCAAAATATATCTTCTCTTGAGTGGCTATTGATTGAAGACTATTCTTTCAAGGTGATATTCCCGGAAGAAAGGCCTCGAGATGAGAATGGAGAAATTGAGATTAAAACGCAAATCAAGAAGTTGACACTGTATAAATTGAATGAACTCCAGCATATATGCAGAGTAGGATGCCAATTGGACCCGGTTCTTGACGTTCTAGAATACCTAGATGTGGATGAATGCTCCAATTTGAAGCACTTGGTGCCTTCCTCAGTAACTTTTAATCACCTCACATATTTAGAGGTGCAAAATTGCAGTGGACTGATGTTTTTAATGACCTCTTCAACAGCAAGAAGTATGATTCAGTTAACAACATTGAAGATAAGAGGGTGTGATTCAGTTGAGCAAATTGTGGCGGAAGAGGGTGGGGAGAGCATGAATGAAATTGTTTTCAACAGCCTAACATTCCTGGAAATTGATAGTTTGCCCAAACTCCAAATGTTTTGTTCAAGTAGTAACTGCTGCTTCAAGTTTCCAGTGCTGGAGACACTTGTAATAAGGCAATGCGTGAGAATGGAGAGCTTCTCTGCGACTGACACAAGCGCACCATTGCTTCGGGAGATACAAACACACGAACAAGATGTAAAACGGCTTTGTGAATGTGACCTAAACAGTACAGTGAACAAGATGTTCCAAGACAAGGTATGCTTTTATTCCAAGCAATTGTGGATCTCATGACATATGAAGTTAGGGAATACTATTTCTACATAATCTCAATTAGCCGAAGTTTATTATTGTTTAAAGTGTTTTGAATGTTTGGGGATATGTTTGAGTTTAACAAAAACAACCTGTACAAACATATAGAAACAGATGATCATTCTTTATGTTCTGCTGACCCTATGCACGCCAACAACTGCAGGTGGCATTCCGTAGTTTCGAGTGTCTGGAGCTATCTCGATATCCTGAGTTAGGAGATGTCTGGTACAGTGATGTAAAGCATGAAATGTTTGGTAATTTAAAAAGTTTAATAGTACACAAATGTGACTTTTTATCAAAAGTCCTTTTGCCTCTAAATTTGTTGAAAGCGCTGCCCAACTTGGAAGAGCTTGTAGTGAGGGAGTGTGATTCACTGGAAGCTCTGATTGAATTACCAAATATGAATGAAGGAAGAATATCAATGGAAAAGGAGACCATTCATCTGAAAAGAATATATCTCACTTGCCTTCCTGAGCTCAAGCACATCTGGAAACGAAACTCTCAAGAAGTTGTCGATTTTGAAAATTCTGAGGAGATTTCATTTGATAAAAGTCTGGAGTTGCATACGTCAAAAATCCAAGGATTCAGTGAAACAACAGAAAAAGGTGATAGCTATTATCAGCAACCCGTGTATTCCATTGGACAGGTATGAAACTTTGCTCCCTTGTTCAAATTATATATACCTAATAGACATGAAAATAGCGTTATCCGTACCAAGTACTTTACGCGTGTAATGAAATATACACACACACACAAACTTTGATAAATAAAAATATGTAATCTATATGTACTTCTAAATTATAAATAGTGTGGCTTGTTAAGAGTTTTAATAGGTCATATACAGATTATAATTTATAACTAATAATTGTATGTTGACGTTGCCTTCACTGCCTAGTTTCGAAGGCATGATGCCCATTGCATGGCATTGCTCTTCTTACCGTCTTGACCTGTGCTGCACAACATGATTTATGAAATATTTTGGATAACCTTATTGTGGTTTCTTTTATGCATTATTGAAGTACTTAGAAATATATTTATAAAATGATCATAATTCGCGTGAGATAATTGGGGGGGGGGGGAGGATAAACACGACTTAAATGTTTTATGAGACATATAAATTAGATATTTCTTTTAATTTAATAGGTTATACATGAATCTTAATATTTTGAAATTTTGAATAATCGTTAAACAAAGAGGTTCATGTTGTGTTTGCTGTCGGTGTGAAGACATGAGGCTAAGTCCGAATAATAAAATGAAGATGAGCTGGTTGTGTTTGTGTCTATAGTAAAGTTTTCTCACAAAAAATGAGAGGAGGAAGTACAACAGAATGAAATGAAATATTATTACTATCAATCACTCAATTTCTATTTTAAAAACATGACAACTACACATGTTTCTCTGATAACAACTATATATTATTGGTTTGCCATGCACATATCATGTTTTTGTCAACATTTTGATAAGGATATATGTGACTGGATACGATGAAGTGACATAAACAATCAAAATTTATTTATTTTTATTGTGACAAATCATCCAGTATTATGCCATACGCCCGAAGAATATTAAGCCCCTTGTCATTCTTTCCTGGCTAAATGGACTTATGGACTGCACAAAACCACTTAACACGGACGCACGAACGCCGAAAGCAATCACTGACCAAATCTGTACGCCTTAAATTTTCGAAAACTTGTCGAAGTACGTGTCGTGGGCTTGACTTGTTCCAAAGTGATGAGGAAATACAAAAATCTACGGGAACTTGTTAATTTGCCAGAAACAGAGTTTACTCAAATTATGCATTTGTTTTGATCAAACTTATCCCAAGTATAGTTTATAACTAACAGTGCAACTATTGAGTTGATCGCAGGTACTTCTACCCAAACTGGAAACGATAATAATAGAAGACTTGCAAAACTTGGAAACAATATGGCACCCTGTCCTGACCCTGAATTCCATGGGTAGCTTTGAGACATTGAAAGTGAAAAGGTGTCATAAAATTCAGCATATATTTTCAATATACATGAACGGAGTTTTTGCATCTCTACAGACGTTGAAGGTTAAAGACTGCAACTCAGTGCAAGAAATTTTCCAGTTGGGTGCCAAGGAAATGTGCAGTGGAGATGATACAACACGGCTCAAGAATATAACCTTGCTTCGATTGCCAAAGCTGAAACAAATTTGGAGCACGGATCGTCAATCTAGTCTTCACTTTAAGAGTCTGCAAGTTGTGCGTGTTGAGGACTCTGAAGATTTAGATTACCTTTTTCCATTCTCCATAGCGAAGCACCTACCTCAACTGGAAGCAATTACAATAAAGAATGCTGAAAAGATGAAGGAAATTGTTTCCAAGAGAGAAGGCCCCTTAGATGATCTTGTCAAATTTGAGTTTAATCAGCTAACCTCTATGGTGCTTTGGAATTTACAAGATTTGCAAAGATTTTGTGCTGGAAATCATAGCTTATCTTGTTCATCATTGACAGAATTAGATGTCTACAATTGTCAGAAATTGAAGCTGTTCAGGACACAAGATACGAGTAACCAAGGAAGACTTTCTGATGACAATTTCCATGTCTCAATGCAAGAGCCTCTTTTCACACTTGAAGAGGTAATGCTCGTGTTATAAAGAAAATAACTAATTAATCTTTTTATGTGTTTGTTTGTTTGTGAAGGGTGTGCTCAAGCATAATTGGGCTGTAGGAGAGGTCGTTAAATAGACTTAGGTCTATATTACTCATTAATATTTCTATTTTTTTTTTTCAG